CCCCTGCTTGTGTGCTCTCTCTCTCTCTCTCTCTCTCTCTCTCTGTCTCAAATAAGTAAATAAAATCTTTAAAAAAAATAAGAAAGAGCATGTTAGGGAAAGGGAGAATGAACAGGAAAGTACGTGATCTTTTAATGCAACAACCTGAGTTCAAAACTTGTTCCTGTTATTTACCAGCACTATGAACTCTGGCAGTTTACTATGTAAACTATAAACCTGATTTGTAATAATACTTACAATGTTTAACTCATGGGGTCATTAGGCAGCTTCAGTGAGATAACGAGACAGAGCGCCCAGCATATTTCCTGGAATTTGGTAATATCAGTTGCCTCTGCCTGCCTCAGGCATCATCCTAAAACTGAAAGTGCCAGGACCACATTCCTTTGCACACAGGAATCCTCTGACAACATTCCAGACAAAATGAATATTGAACATCTGTTTGAATCCTTAGCATTGATGAACACTCAAATATGAGAAACTTCCTCTTTCTGTTGATTGAATCAAACATTCATGCCATCAACTTCCACTCAGAACAAGGACATTCTATCTTTCACAAAAAGCCTTTCAAATATCTGAAGACAGCTAGCATCTCTCTCTACTCAGTTTTTCCTTTTTCAGTTTCCACAGCCGTGGTTATTTTACCCATTCAGTGCCTGGGTCCTTATTACACATGGGATTTACCCTTTTCTATGGAAACCGGAGTCAATATCAGCTCTCTTGACAATCTACTCAAAGTGGATGTCACAGCCCCTGGTAACAGTGAGATCCTTACCTTTCCTGAACTGGATATTACCCTTGTGTAAATAAAAGTTAATATTGACCTTTTAAGCAGCCACATAAAATATTTGTAGTAGGAATAGGAGTACCTATTATTATATTGATCTTCTACTATGTGGCAGGGAGTGTATTAATTTTATGCTACAAAGCTAGTTATTCAAGATATGTATCTTAATTTATAAATAATTCAACCCAATTTCTGTTTTAATCTCTCATTCTGCCTTAATTCGATTCCTCTCCCTTTCACCAGGCTAGTTGCTTTCTTCAACAGGGCAGGTAGAAAAACAGGGTCCTTGATTTATCTGTATCAGCAGACATCAACCTGTCCGGTCCCTGTTCATCAGTCCACACAGGTTGTCAATCTGGTCAATGAGGCCCCTCCAGGTTTGTGACTCTCTTTTGACTTCCTGATGGGCCATGACTGTCCATCAGCCTAGTCTCTCCCAGCAGTCCCTCCCATTCTAGGCCCTTGGCCCCTCTCTGGAATCTTAGAGATGGGAGAGGCAGCATGCAGGAAACCACTCAGCTCTCTGCTCTAATACCACCCACAATCTCTCTTACTTCCGCTTCCTACCTGAGAAGGGAGATAGCTTCTTTTCTCTGCTGTGTCTCAACATTTCATCTGTATCTCCACTCCTCTCAGTTCTCTTGGTGTGATGCTTTAGGGTATGAAAAACAAACCCAGACATCCTAAATGCTTTCTATTTTTTCTTCTCTGCCCCATTATTTCCAGAAGCTGTGAATATACATCAGCTTGAAGCTTGAACAGAGCGAAGGGGAGATAAATAAAGGGAAAAAGGAAAACACAAAGTTAATCTCACAAATATATCATGCCTCCACAAATTGAAATGTTTCGCAAATGATTATTCTTCCTTCCTATTTAAAGATAGGAAATTAGAGGCTCCTGGGTGACTCAGATGGTTAAGCGTCTGCCTTCGGCTCAGGTCATGATCCCAGGGTCCTGGGATCGAGCCCCACGTCTGGCTCCTGGCCTGCTTCTCCCTCTCCCTCTGCCTCTCCCCCTACCTGTGCTCTCTCTCTCTCTGTATCTCTCTGTCTCAAATGAATACATAAAATATTTAAAAATAAATAAAGATAGGAAATTAAAGTTCAAAGTGGTTAAGCAACTTACCCAAGATCACACAGCAAGCAAGGAAAAGCTGAGCCCACGCCAGTCTGAGTGATTTCCAATATTGTACTTTTCCCGCATGGCCTGTCCTCGCTGTTGGCCCCACTTATCTTTCCACATAAGGTGTCACCAGGTCAGACAGCCCATCCTGCCCTCATGCAATAATCAGAATCCATGTCAGGGAGCCTAGTATATTTTATTTTGTTGCATTCAATCCAGTGCATCAGTTTGGAGAAATCAGTTTGAAATTTGATTCCTT